TATATAAGCAGACCGAAGAGAAAAGGCGGCTGAGAACAACGCAAGCTCATTTTACACACCCCTCTTTATTCTTCACATTCTCACTTTTTTTTTATCAGCGGTCACCCATTCACTCAGAGGATATATAAGCAGACCGAAGAGAAAAGGCGGCTGAGAACAACGCAAGGAAAACCCACAGACACTCACTCACACACACATTTAAACACAAGCACTTTCAAAAGGGCAAGGAAGTTTGCACTAACTCTTCTACTCGGGACCAAGACTTTTGAGACACACTTGGGACAGCTTCAGTATTGGATCACAACTGCTGGCAGGAGTGATGTCTGTGTCTCTGTGGTGTGAGGAGGAAGAGGGCCAGGACAGGACTCAGTCTTCAGTCCGAGCCCCATGGGACCCCAGCGCCTCCGGACTGAGAGTTATTCAGAGACTTCTGCAGTCCGAGGAGAGATACCTGCCATCTCCTCTCTACATCTCTCTCATCCAGAGAGAACCACAGCGCAGAGAGGAACTGGCCAAGTGGACCATGGAGGTAGATTTGCATGCTAATAACCAAAATCTAGTGCTAGACATCAAGTATGTTGTTCATGTTTTTAATATCAGTAATTTTGTGTTTGAAGCGCTTTTCACAAGTAGGGTACATGCTAAAAGTTTTTTTTTTTTAAGTTATAAACAAACGTTGTACAACAAAGATTATTAGTGTTTTACCAAAAAAAAAAGTTTTTCTGCTTCAGAATTTTATATTGATTCAATATCTCAGTCTTCAGTCCGAGCCCCATGGGACCCCAGCGCCTCCGGACTGAGAGTTATTCAGAGACTTCTGCAGTCCGAGGAGAGATACCTGCCATCTCCTCTCTACATCTCTCTCATCCAGAGAGAACCACAGCGCAGAGAGGAACTGGCCAAGTGGACCATGGAGGTAGATTTGCATGCTAATAACCAAAATCTAGTGCTAGACATCAAGTATGTTGTTCATGTTTTTAATATCAGTAATTTTGTGTTTGAAGCGCTTTTCACAAGTAGGGTACATGCTAAAAGTTTTTTTTTTTAAGTTATAAACAAACGTTGTACAACAAAGATTATTAGTGTTTTACCAAAAAAAAAAGTTTTTCTGCTTCAGAATTTTATATTGATTCAATATTTTACTTGTTTGTGAAATTTACTAGCATTTTCTAAGAAAAAAATCAGTGTAGGGCTTGAATCTTTTAAACTAGGGATTCCCAAATTGAGTTATGTGAGTGGCTGAAAAGCTAATTAATTAAATTATAAAAAATTTAATGAAAATAAATAATTTTAAAATAAAACAATTAAAGTATAACACTTATGCAGTGAAACAGTCAGAGAAGCTGGCAAAGTGGACCATGGAGAAAGATTTTGGGGCTTTATGAAGATCGGTACTTATAATGGTTTAAAAATATATTTGTAATGAAAATAGGTTGCACTCCTAGGCTCCAAAAATACAAAAATCTAGTAACAGACTATCACACAGATGACGTTTCGAGCACGCAGACTCTACATCAGACAATTAAAAGTTTTAAACCCACATGCCTTTATACAACAGGTGATTAATCACATGACTCAAAAAGCAGCATAAAGCCATGAATAAAAACTAAAAGTAATATTAAATTTGAAAGTCTAGTCCTAAACATATAACAATAATGTCAATAATACCTGTATTTTATTACCCTAAAGAAAAATATACTTCACATTTATGTTTCTGATTAAAGGTTTGGTTCTCCTAAAAAGATAGCACACGTTTTTTTATAATGTTTCAAATGTTTCTGTCCATATAATTCAAAAGTCAAAGGGCTTCAAAAGAACATTGGACCTACTGACTTTCACTGTATGGGCAAAAAGACTGAGACATTTTTCTATTAAAGAAAGTCAGGTTTTGAAAGGCATGCGTAAATAATGACAGTATTTTCATTTTTTGAGCGAACTATCCTTTTAATAGCACATTATTTGAGGACTTCAGATCAAGATGAAGCAAACTAACTAAATGACAGTGACAAAGTTCTACAGTTCAATACAGTTTGTTTGCTTCGACTATGAGGGTCTTCCTCTTCTGTGTTTTCATAGGTGTGCTGTGAATGTGACTGTGATGAGTCTGTATTTCCCCTGGCTGTCTCCCTGTTGGATCGATATCTGTCGGCCACTCTATCCCTGCCTGTCTCTCCATCCTGTCTGGCTGCAGCTTGTGTTCTGGTGGCCTCTAAATTGACAGAAAGTGACACAGTTAGTGCAGACACGCTCTGTGCGGCAGCAGAGTATGACTTTCTCTCATCAAACCTGTGGGTGAGTGTTTAAAAAATCAATCAAAATTCACTAAAGGCTCAATACTATGGACAGTGCTGTCCAAAAGTCTGAAACATTCAATAAATCATTAGAAAATAGTGCTTTTCTTCATTTTTCTCATTTAACACTTTTCCCATTATAAATTAAATCATTTAAGTGAAAAGTGCTGGAAAAAAAGAGTAATAAAATTGACATATACATGTGCATATAGACAGTTTTATATATGTGACCCTGGAGCACAAAACCAGTCTTAAGTCGCTGGGGTATATTTGAAGCAATAGCCAAAAATACATTGTATGGGTCAAAATTATTGATTTTTCTTTTATGCCAAAAATCATTATGATATTAAGTAAAGATATTTTGTAAATTTCCTACCGTAAATATATCAAAACTTAATTTTTGATGTGTAAGATGCATTGCTAAGAACTTAATTTGGACAACTTTAAAGGCGATTTTCTCAATATTTTGATTTATTTGCACCCTCAGATTCCAGATTTTCAAATAGTTGTATCTCGGCCAAATATTGTCCTATCCTAACAAACCATACATCAATTGAAATGTATAAATCTCAATTTCGAAAAAAATGGACCCTTATGACTGGTTTTGTGCTCCAGGGTCACATATATGCTTACTCCGACAGGAAATGGAGCGTGTGGTGCTGGCGACTCTGCGGTGGGATGTGGCAGCAGTGACTCCTCAGGACTTCATCCCACACTTCTTGCGCACTCTCTGGGAACTCCGGGACGGAGACGCGCGTACAGGAGACTTTCTCGCAACGCTGCGACGCCACGGCGATACACTTGTCGCCTTGTGTGTGTGTGACTCGCGCTTTCTGGGAACTCCTCCTTCACTGGTGGCTGCGGCTGCACTGAACTCTGCCCTGCGGGGTTTAAGGGCCAAGAGTGCGGGAGAGCTGAGCGTCATGACCTCTGCCCTGGCCACACTCTGTCAGACTGATGTGGTGAGCCACGATTTATCTCAGAGAGTATGAGAGAGCTAAACATAAAACAATAATAATCATCATTTTGGTTACACTTTATTTTAAGGTGTCCTTGTTACAGTGTAGTTATACATTTAAGTACTGAGTAATATTAATTAACTACATGTATTTACTATGTAGTTAGGCTTAGGATTAGGGTTTGGCTTAGGGTTACTTGCATGTAATTATACATAATAGTTGTTATTATAATTGTAAGTAGCCTACATGTAACCAGTGTAACAAAGACACCTTAAAATAAAGTGATACCATAATTTTTTTTAGAGAGAGGGAGAATTATTATTATTATGACTTGTATATCTGTAACTATTCCTGCTTGTGCCGACAGGCGGTGCTGCAGTGCTGCACTGAGCTGATAGAGGGAGCTCTCAGGGAGAGACTGAGGAATGGAGCACATGAGGAGAAAGATGGTGATATTGAAGAGGAAAGAGCCAGCACACCCACAGACCTAAGAGAAATAGACTTTTAATACAGGCTTGATCTATGAGTTATATTTATTCTGCGACTCACTTTTATTTGTCAGTAAAACTGATTTAAACACAATGTGACATTTATGTTTTGTCTAATGTAACTTCTGAAGTGATCTAATTTATATTTTTATTTATCTGTTTGAGGGATTACGATTTACTTGTGCCATATTTATTAACTTATGTTGCCATAACTGTAATTGTGAGTACTTATGTATTTCAGGTTTACACTTTTCACTTAATGTATTACATTTATACTTTTTATATTATCATATTATTTATTGTGTGCACATTTTTATATTTAATTTATTTTGTTTGTCAGTGTTTCAGCCTGTCAGGGTTGGATCAAAAGAAATATCTATTTTTCGAAGTAATTAAAATAAAGTTTCTATGTTTGCCAACAATGTGCGTCTCTCAAAGTCCATTTATATATAACGACACATGACAAAAGAAAGAAAGAAAGAAATGCTGCAAGATCTTCAAAAAACTAAATTAGCTAGGACTCTCAAAGTCCATTATATCTAGCACAATTACAATATAAAACGAGAACAAAAGAAAGAAAGAAAGAAAGAGAAAGAAAGAAAAAAACAGTGCAAGATCTAAAACTAAATTAATCAATCGTGGTCCTTGCGTTTCAGTGTCGTGTAAATAATAATAATAATGATGATAAAAAATAGAAATAGGCTTTCTTGCATACAAATAACAGTCGTTTTTTAGGGACACTTACATTACATTGGCATTTTTGGTAAAGTGGCTTAATAGAATTATAAAAGTGTACCCCATTTATTATTTTAATAACAAACGGTGTTACAGACACAAAATACTGTTGGCTCATGTTTGTGGAAAGCGTCGCGTTTGGATTGCGTCATAATTCATGGCCGCACTTGTTTTTGAGGCAGCAACGCTGCTGAGTAATTTGTAGTCTCGGGTTCACTCACCGCTCAAACAGGATCTGACCCTGTGGTAAGAGAACTCGCTGTTTATCTGATTTAGACTGAAGAGTTTCAGACCAAACGACACTACAAGACGTCGGTAGATGACCGTGACTGTTTTTCTCGTGAAGTTGCATCTGTCGTGAAACATGTAACGTTAAAGTGTGTTTTCGCGAACTGTCACACAGACCTGCTTTCTTCGGCTCCTCTCTCTTGTCATGATCGATGTGTACTTAATAAGTCTTATATAAATAAACCTGTCTGCTTAAAGAGACCTCTCTCTCTCTCTGCGCATGCGTGGGCGTTTGTGGAGCGTGTGTGAGAAGCTTAGTGAGTGTGAGCGCGATTAAAAGGTAAATGTAAAGTGGTAAATGTTGATTTGTTGAAAAGGTGTTTTATGTGAAATATTGTAATAAAGTATTTTTTTCAAAATTCAAATTCTCTCTCTCTCTCTCTCTCTCTCTCTCTCTCAAGGGTGAAAGGAAAGGCTGTCTAATCTTTGTATCCAAAGGTGTCCAAGGATGACAGGAGGCTTGAAGGGGCTGCTGCTTTTGTCTCTGTGTCTTGTGGTGTGGACAGTGCCAATAGATCGCAACCAAGACCCTCCCCATGAGGAGAGAGCAGAGGAGAATGCGGTAAGACTGGTCTCAATCATGCTCATAGACTAGAACATGCCATGTGCGTTAATCATTTGTTCAATGTTCACATGCTCTCTTGTTTTGGCTGTACATTGCATATGTCAGGATACTGGTCTGTACTATGACCGTTACCTCAGAGAGGTGATTGAGGTGCTGGAAACTGACCCTCACTTCAGAGAAAAACTTCAGACTGCCAACACAGACGACATCAAGGTAAAGCATGCACACTGTAGAGCACAAAAACTGGAATCCCATTCCTCTTCTTTATAAAAAATGACAAGGTATAAGTATCCTTCAAGACAGACCTAATTTATCTATCATATGTTTATTTACATTTACATTTAGTCATTTAGCAGACGCTTTTATCCAAAGCGACTTACAATTGGGGGATACATAAAGCGATTCTTCTTAAAGAGGCAGACAGACACAAGAAGTGTGTGTCTGTGATGGTACCACGAGGCGTCGCTCACTAGCGGATCTCAGACTTCTGAAGGGGATGTAAATTCGTAGTAGTGAGTGGAAGTAGGCGGGTGCTGAGCCTGTGGCTGTTCTATATGCAAGCATCAATGTCTTGAACTTGATTCGGGCCGCAACCGGTAGCCAGTGCAAGGAGATAAAGAGAGGTGTAACATGGGCTCTTTTGGGCTCGTTGAAGACCAGTCGTGCCGCTGCATTCTGAATCATTTGTAGAGGTTTGATTGTGCTTGATGGGAGTCCAGCCAGAAGAGCATTGCAGTAGTCCAGCCTAGAGATGACAAGGGCCTGGACAAGAAGTTGTGCAGCATGCTCCGTTAGAAAGGACCTGATCTTTCTGATGTTGTGCAATGCAAACCTGCAAGATCGAGCAGTCTTTGCAATGTGGTCTTTGAAGGTCAACTGGTTATCAAAAGTTACACCAAGATTTCTGACCGAAGTTGATGGGGTAATTGTAGAAGAACCTAGCTGGATGGAAAAATCATACTGTAGAGTTGGAGTGGCAGGGAAGACAAGAAGCTCAGTTCAGTTATTTATTTAAAAAAAATTATATATACATTTTAGTAATCTATATTGTATTTTTATATGTATAATGTATTGTATACTTTTATACAGTGACTAGTCCTTTATTGTATGTTGTTTTTATTCTTTTATATAATTTGAGATGTGTAGGTCATTACCTCATAAAAAGCATTAAGTACAGTCTTGTTTTCTTTTTTTTTTTAAATTTTTTATTTACATTTTCTTTATTATTAACACTTTATTTAGGAATTTTTATTTATTTTAATAACATGTATTTTACATTTATAATGTACTTTTTGTACAGTGAGTTATATATTGTATTATTTTTATTATTTTATGTAATGTGTAATTTTATGAGATGTGTAGGTCATTGCTTCATAAAAGACATTAAGTACATAGAACTTGTCCCTTAGTTTTTTTTTTCTTAAATTGACATGCTTTTCTTGCTTCAAATTCAAGTTTGTAATGTTGTGATTCATCTCATTCGTGTGGAGCTGGTTTGTTTGGTTCATGATTTTATAAAAATCCCTATGGAGAAAATGAATGAGGAAAATGCCAAATGTGCACAGTCTCTGTTTTCTGTTTTGCCTTTGAGCTTTAAAGTTTTATAATTTCATTGGTACTTCAAGTACTTAATGGAAAGCTACTGTGTTTTAGAATGGGCGCCTCAGCAAGGAGTTGGATTTGGTGGGCCACCATGTGAGGACGCGACTGGATGAGCTGAAGAGGCAAGAGGTCTCACGCCTCCGGATGTTGCTGAAGGCTAAACTGGACAGCACCAACGCACAGAGTGAGTGTGTTTATGTATTATGTATTTATGTGTTTGCGTGACTCCCACACGCATGTTCACGCAAATGCTTGTTGTGATTGCAGTTGTTCAGATGGATCACATCTCCTTGTTGAAGCAGTTTGAACATCTGGACCCTCATAATCAGAACACATTTGAAGCCAAAGACCTGGAGCTGCTTATCGTAACGGTAACACCCATTCCTAACATGCTATAATGTGAAATAGCAAAAACATCATTAACCAACAACGTAGATTGACAAGCATTCAGTGCATACTTGTTTGAAAATTAAAAATTAAAATCCTGATCTTTCTTCTTTTCTTGATTTTGTGTTAATCCTATTGTATCAGATTATAGTATACATCGTTTACTATATTTTATTTTACTCTTTTTATTAGAAATTTCTACACAAGAGCAGGTGCACAGATAACTGACTCATTCGCCTCAAGTGAAAATTTCACAATATTGTATTACCCCAATTAACAAAATCCCAACCAATTGCATACAGTAAAATTAGAAAAGAATAATACATAAAAACACAAATACATAATATAAAAATAAAAAATGTACATAAAATAAGGGGGCACATGTATTTGTTTCAAATGCGAGTAAATACAATTCTGATCTTTCTTCTTGTTTCTTCTTTTTTTGTGTGTGTGTATCCGTTTCTATCAATATACTAATCGTTTTCCTTTTAGACGCTTTTATCCAAAGCGACTTACAATTGGGGGATAGTGCACAGATAACAGACCCATTCACCACAAGTGAAAATTCCACAATATTACATAAAAACACAAATACATAATATAAAAATAAAAAATGTACATAAAATAAGGGGGCACATGTATTTGTTTCAAATGCGAGTAAATACAATTCTGATCTTTCTTCTTGTTTCTTCTTTTTTTGTGTGTGTGTATCCGTTTCTATCAATATACTAATCGTTTTCCTTTTTTATTTCTTTTATTAGTTTTTACTACTCGAAATAAAAAGTGCACAGATAACAGACCCATTCACCACAAGTGAAAATTCCACAATATTACATAAAAACACAAATACATAATTTGAAAATAAATAATAAAATCAAACGAACAGATAAAAAAATAATAAAGTGAAGAGTCATACACTTTTTTTTTTGTTTTGTTTTTTTTGTGCTTATTTGTTAGGCCACTAAAGATCTTGAGAATTACGATGCGGAGCGTCACGAGGAGTTTAAGCGCTACGAGATGCTGAAAGAACACGAGAGGAGGGAGTACCTGAAGAGTTTGGACCAGGAGAAGAGAGAGAACGAGGAGAAGAGAATCGAGGAGCTGAAAGAAAAGCATCGGCAACACCCTAAAGTTAACGCTCCGGTGAGGGAATGAAGAACGGGAGATGTATGGATAGAAAGATCGACTGAGATGAGTTGTATTTGTTGTACTTCCCGAGTAAAACGTTCTTTTTTTATTTCCTTGTCAGGGTAGCGTGGATCAGTTACGGGAGGTCTGGAAAGAGACAGATGGGCTGGATCCACAGGAGTTCAATCCCAAGACATTCTTTAATCTCCACGGTGAGTCTTTTTGTCCAAGTAGTCCATAAGCAGCCGTTCCACGGGCAAAATGAATTTAATTGCGTTTTCTCACTTAGATACGAATGGTGACAGTGTGTTGGATGAGCAAGAGCTGGAGGCCCTTTTCACAAAAGAGGTAATGTTTTACTGAATCATTGCATTCTGTTATTGACAGTGATGGAAGCCGCTTTATGCAGTGACTGGGTCAGCTGTTAAGACTCTAGTGGGCTCTAGTGGCTGTCCTGAAGAAAACATCATTAACACGGGGATCCATGATGAAGCTCATAAAAGCTGTTCTTGACAGGCAGAAAACGAGCAAATGGCAATAATTGAAATGGTGCGAGCACCTTTCTGATGTGTTCATCTTTTCTTTTCTATTCTCTTAGCTGGAGAAGGTGTATGATCCCAAGAATGAAGAGGATGACATGATGGAGATGGAGGAGGAGAGGCTGAGGATGCGAGAACATGTCATTCAAAACGTAAAGCCTTCACTTTTTTTTTTGCAGTGACTCTTGATAATTGAGTGTGTTTACACCACGCTAAAAAGAAAACCAAAATCAGTTCATAAAAGCCTAAATGCTGTGTTTGGATGAAATAATTTAGAATTTGTGTGAGGTTATTCTTTGATTTTATTGTTTAAAATGTGCGATGAGTGAACGCTGAATAAGCCGTTAGAATGTCCAGGCAAATGTTGTAGGAGTGTGTATGTAAACGCTTTCATTCTCTCGCTCTTTCCCTTTATCTGTCTTTCTCCTTCAGCTTTTTAACACTTTCATAATGTGTGGAGCAGCAGTGACTCCGTCTGTTCTGTTCCTTCAGGATGCATGAGATGAAGAAATAGTCATTCTTTTATCTGATTTTCACTGCATTAGAGTCTTTTTTTTTTAATTAGTTACTTCAGTTCATTTTAATTACCTTTAAACCGTGCACTTTTAAATAGCTTTTTCCTCTCTCGCTGCTTCCTGCAGGTAGATCTCAATCGTGATAGACTGGTCAGCCTGGAAGAGTTCCTCAAATCTATGGAGAAGAAAGAGTTTAACAACCCGAAGGAATGGGAGGTTAGAGCCTGATTTTGATGCATGGTCTGACTTTATTGTACTATCTTTACATGGCAGTGTTTTTTGCCAACTCATTATCTTTCTATACTTCAAGACACTGGATGATACAAAGCCAGTGTACACCGAAGAGGAGCTGCAGCGCTTTGAGGCAGAACTTCGGGATAGGGAGGTGGAGCTTGGCAGAAGGGCGGAGAAATTACGACAGGAGCAGGAACTTCTCAAAGAGAGAAGCAAAGCCCTAGAAGCCCAGAAACGAGAATATCAGCAGGTAAAAGACTGCTTTCAAATGTTTGCAGTCCTTTTCTTGGTATTGCCTTTATATAATTAGAATAGCTTGATTTTTTTTTTTAGCTATTATTACACATTTTCTTTGGAAAGAATGCTTGTATAATAATATTTAAAAATAAATAAAGTGTGTGTGTGTCTAAAATAATAAAAAATTTATTTTTAAAACTCAAATTGTGATGATATACATTTTATATAAATCTAGTTTTTTTTCTTGTTTTTTTTTTACTGTTAAGCCCATACTAAAACAAATGATTTTATTTCATTTGCAACATCAGTACTACATATTATAGTAATTTTTGATGCATTATTGCGATGCCAGAGAACTGACAGCTTGTTTTACTTCTAATCAGGCAGTAATGGAGATGTCACAAAAACAAAAGGAGCAACAGGCACTGAGATTTGAGACTTTAGTCTTTGCAACTTTACAGATCTTCTTTATGCACCAAGAGCTTGTAACACTCCAAAGAGAAAGGAAAAATTTAAATCGCATCATATGACCCCTTTAATAAAAATATAATAGTATCTCAATGATACTAAAATAACACTGATTCAGAAGTTAACTAACAATTAATTCTAAAGTAATGCTGATGAGTGAGATGAATCAAAAATAAGTTTATTAAAAAGTCATGTTGACCTCAAATACAACTGTTAACAAAAACATGGACAGGAGAGGGAGCTAAGAGCTCATAAAACTTCCCACAGCACTTAGATATGTGCCAAACATACTTGGTTGTCATCCCCCTATATCATGATAGCCACATATGAGAAATTTCTGCTGCTTCTGCACCATTATGCGTGGTATTTATCACTCCCTGGGCTGTACGATCTGTCAGCGGTGAAAATGCAGACAATGGATTGCAGCCTGAGCATAAAACATTGGTCCTGATGTACTTTCTGATAATGCTCAGGTGATTTTTTTGGGTCATCACTTTGCTATTGTGTGACAGAACCAAACCATCCTGCACTTCAGGCCACCACCACACACACAGAAACTAAATGTGCTGAGTTCACAGGGACAGACCACAGTCTCCCACAGCGTTTGTCATCTCTAGAGTCACTTACAGGACATTGCATGCCAAGAAGAACCTAACATACAGAATTCAAATAAATGTTTAAATGTAAAAAAAAAAGCATGATGGTCATGGATCTGCTGTTTGGGTTCTGGAGCGTCACATAAATTTATATTTGTGCTCTCTTACAAATAAGGGTTCCAAAAGGGGAACCTTTGTGTGGGTGTAACGTTTGCTCGCTCGGTGCCGTCGTTACATGTGTGAGGAATAGGGAAGGGGGGAGGCTGATAACTGGGCACCCAAAAGCGCTGCGCTCCGATGGGGTCGACGGGGATGAAATGATGATGATGATGATGTCTAGCGTTTACTCTCGACGATGACAACGGTGAGCGGTGCATATTTCAGCATCGCATGCATTTTCTTAGATATGCATGTCTGTGTGTGTGATAGCGCCCAGCTGTGGAGATGAGGAGGGGGGTGATGATGGGGTACTTGGGAGGAGGGGGCGAGGCGAAAGGATGGGAGGAAGAGCATAAAATAGCGACATTTAAAGAAATGACACGATGCGTTCTTCATTAGACTAGTTAAAATGGAAGCATTTCATTTCGACGGCATGTCCAGTCGCGTATCTGCAGAAGAGAGACGCACATATATCATGATGGAGCGAGGCGAGCGGCGGAAGATCCAGCCCAATTTATACTGAGCGTCCTTTGGGCGAACGGAGCGGTGCTTGCTTTTTATTCTTTTCATCCAGCCGTTCACGTTTGTACGGAATAAATAAGATCAGCAGCAGCATCCAATCACGCTCGGGTTGCCTTTAAACGACACTCGTTTCTTCCTTCTTCCTGCGTTTAGACAGCGGCCACGGACACACACACTCACACACTCACACACACACACACAAAGCGCTGCCAGGCTACATGATCGTTACACATCATGAATTTCATTTCCGTATATCATGCGCATCCATTAGCCTCTTGACTAATAGGCTTTACAGAGCCTGTTTAGAGAAGCGAATACACCGTAGGGGCGAACGGAGAATAAAAGCGGTGCGTTGTAGTGTTAGGAAACTGCTGCTGTCTGTGTTGAAGGGAAATTGAAATAGGTGTGTGTCGGAGAAAGAGAGGGAGGAAGGCAGAGAGACAGATGGACAGACAGACAGAGAGACAAAACAAATGGAATTGGGTGTTGATTTGATTGTTCTGCATGACAGTCGCGGAAACGAGGCTGATGCGTTGTGTTTATTCGCCTGGACGTCGTTAACATTCAAGACGGGGAGTATTTAGCAGGATTTGTGGCCTGTGTGCGAGGAATCACTGCTCTATTGATTCTTCCAAATTCCTCTGTGTCGACATTCACTGGAACAGGACGCTCTTTCATGCTATTCCCAGATTTCTGTGAGGGGAAAACCCGATGGTTACAATGTTATTTTTAGTTTGATGCTCCCCAATGTGTCTGCCACCTTCTAGTGCTGACTCCTGTGTCGAAGAGCCGAGTGATTTCAGTGCTAACTCCATGTCTCTCACTCAGTGCTTTTTACATGCACAGGAATATTCTGATGTGAATCAGAATTTGGTCATATTGTGATTATGTAAGGGTCATGCCAACACATTGATTGGCATAACCAGATTAATCCAGTGTTTTGGTTTCTGGAAATCTGAATTAGATAGCACATGCTTGTATTATTAAGATTTGTGGGTCATAATGGAATATCGACTGGAACTGAATGTTCTTTTTTATCTTTGTCCAAGCAGAGGTAATTTGTGATATTAGATATAAACAACTCGTAGATTCAGAATGATTGAAGACTTTTACTTTTCTAATGACAATTTTACAAAATTAAAAGAATCATCATGGCCTGTATTTGTATTTGTATTTCTCATGACCTACATTTTGCAAATCATAGCTTGTGTGTTGGGATATGAAAGATATTTCATAAGTGGATTCAATTACTGTTCAAAATTACTAAAATGCGTGATGTACTGTAAGTGGCTCAAGCAAACAGAAAAATGTTCAGGATATGCTGGTACTAATAATTATAAATAATATGTTACTATTTCTGGAGCACATGGAAATCTGTTTTCAGCATAAAGGCTAACCCTGAATACGAACCTTAATCAGAAAATTATGTGTATGTAAATGATGTCACTGTCAAGATTGGCATACTACTTTTAAGCATTACTGTTTTCCATTTAGTGTCTTTTATCACAGTATGTTTTAAAGCTTTACGTGACAGCTGAGAGTAACTCAACAGCATAGATGATTCCCAACTTATCTATCCCAGTGTATTACAACATTTAATTCATTAAAGGTCTGCATTGAAAGCAAGTTTTATTAGTAATTGCAAAAGTAAGATAACAGAACAGTTGTCTTTCACCTCTTGCTGTACAAAGCCTTTTTGGTTTTGTTTATTGTATTATTTTCTCCCTATATACTGTCTTGTCTTCCCCTTTTTATCCCCATAGTTTATCAATAAAAGCACTGTTAAAGTCTACCGGGAAACTTACTGTTTTGAAATGGTTTACTCCGAGACTGTGAATTCACTGGATTTGATGTATAATGCTTTATTTCTTCAGGTCTTGCCCAGCTTTGGCCATTTGTGCTAATGTCACTCTCCTTTATTTCCCTCTTCAGCTCTCCTTTACTTGAAGTTCGAACCCATTGGGTAGAAGACTCTCCTCCATGCCCACCCTTCCTTTTACCCAATCCAGTCCCTGCGACCCAGCGACTTTCCCCTCCTACTTTCTCCTGCCACTGTTGTTCCACCTGAGACCACGTCCTGCTGCTTCACCCAAACACACCCAAGCCAAGGATTTTGAACAGCACATACTAAGAGCCAATCAGGAGCCTTGAAGCCATTCAGGAAATAGCAACACAACTCATGAATCTACCTGAGCATTGAGGAAAAAATAAAGGAAAGAAAGCTGTGGATAATAAACTCATTGTCAAGAAGACAACTCAGATAAACTGGCTGCACGTGTCCACCCTCGAAGAAGAGCACAGCAATTAGGAGTTTCCACCAAGAAGCGTGAATTGAGGGTGAATTCAAACAGACACTAACTGAGGGACAAGATATAGAGGAAAAGAAAGAGAGAACAACTGCACGCATAATATAACATATCTGCAATACTCACATTCCCTCACACATTACAGACTGTTAAGGCACACGTTCTTTCCACAGACCACACGCTACACCATCCTAGACACCCGCATATGAATGACCAGTTGTTTATCTCTTTACCATAGGCTCTCAGGCACGCAAACACCGTCAGATTCACGGTCCCACACTGTGATTCTCATAAGTTCCTCTTTGCAAACTTGTAGGGCCAAGACATACACACACTCGCCCTTAAACTCTTGCACCTGTTCACGGCCTCAAGATGATGTGTGAGGTGATGCCCACCATCTCGGAGGACGGGCGGGGTGGTGGTGGAGGAGGCCCGTCCTCTCCTGCCGGAGGTGGTGGGGGTATGGGGGGCAGTGCAGGGGGCATGAGTGGTGGCTATGGGGGCCGGGAGGCCCGCGGTGGAGACGAGGGCGGGAGCACTGGAAATCTAGAGTCTCTGATGGTGAACATGCTGACGGAGAGAGAGCGGCTGCTAGAGAGTCTCAGAGAGACCCAGGAGAGTCTCGGCACGGCACAGCTACGTCTGCGAGAGCTGGGTCATGAGAAGGACTCGCTACAGAGACAACTCTCCATCGCACTGCCTCAGGTACACATTATGGGTCCTGTACGTGTGTTTAAAACAATATTTGAAGTTGCAGGAGATTCATAATGTGAATATTCGTAATTATGTTGATATATTGTGCATCTTAATTTAAAATCATATAAATATCATCTTCATTTGGAGTAGTGTGTGCGTGCGTGCGTGCGTGCGTGCGAGAGAGAGGGAGAGGGAGAGAGAGAGGAGGGGGTCACATCACAGTGGAGTCAGCTGTCTTAACCGTGGCTTGTGTGCTGCAAACACACACCAGCTTCATCACTGTGTCTGTCACCATCACAGCATGTCAACATATTCTATTACATCAAATACACAAAATAATGATCTTTAAAAAAGCATCATATGACCCCTTTAATGGAATACCTGGGGTTCAGTCCAATGTATGCTCAAACGACAGCATTTGTGGTTGTAAAATGTGCTGGACACATCCGAATATTTGGGTTGACGTGTTCTGGAACAGTGTTGTAAATACAACTTAACCACTTATTTCTAGTCGTGTCCTCTTTTGGAAGACCAAACAAAGTAGTTTCGCTTTCACAACAAAAAACACCGGCTTAGCGTGAGCTGAGGCTGGGATAGAGTGAGCTGTGGCCGGGCTAGAGTGAGCAAAGGCGGGCTTCATCCACGGTGAAAGCCGATCCGGCGATCCACAGCACTAAGTTGATGTATTCCCTCAGGGACCAGCACAGATCAGCTCTAGGCATGACAAAGTGGATATCGTCCTCTTTTGGAAGACCAAACCATGTAGTTTCGCTTTCATAACGAAGCACACAGTGTCTCCATGGCATGGCGGCAGCGGCAACAATACTACAGTGAGAATAAAAGTTACACCTTCTTTCTTTGCATGAACATTTGGGTGGCGTTATGCAAAACTTCCCAAGTAGTGACGTAGGCATGTGGGGGCGTGTTAGAACGAGCCGTTTTAGGTAGGCGTGGTTAACTCTTAACTTTTATAAAGAATATCACTTTGGATTTGAGACTTTAGTCTTTGCAACTTTACAGATCTTCTTTATGCACCAAGAGCTTGTAACACTCCAAAGAGAAAGGAAAAATTGAAATCGCATCATATGACTCCTTTAAGAATTTCTTGGACTGAATAGTTTGCTTGGAAAAACAGGTCATTGAGATGAACCATGTCTGAGAATGAGCTGCCAGTGAAGTATAAGTGATGTTGCATACAGACAGATGAAAAGAATTTCAAAGAGTCAGAACTGCCTTATTTCTCTCTCTCATTCACTTGTCTTGTCTTGTTAGTATCATGTCCTTTGTTTGCATTGGGCAGTCTGTATGTATATTTGTCTGATTTGGCTAACATTTAAGCCAATCTTAATCTTCCAGACTTGCTTTTCTGGTCCTTTTTGCATCAGGTCTTGAACTGTTTTGTCTCCTCTGATCTAATTTAAGGTGTTCCACATATCTTTTTGAGATTATCTGCTTATCTATGATTATGTGACCTGTTTTACAAGTCGGGACGCTACATTTTAGTCTTTTCTCTGCAGTATGTAGTGTATGTTCTCTTAAGTAAAGTGAATCCTGAAGTTATGTTATGTGTGTAAAAAATAAGGAGTCCTTTCTAATATCCCAAACTCTCTGGACCACAATGTTCCTAGTGGAGAGAAGAAAAAAAGCTCTTCGCATAATGTGTGGGTTTCATTAAAATTTAGTTGTCTTTTCCTTGAATTTTCAGGTGGTACATTTGTTTGCAGTGCCATCCGAGTGTTCCTGTGTAATTGTACCATTTCAGCGTAACATTACTCCTTCTCCATAAAAGCACATTGTACAGAAAAGAGACAACAGGATACTACTTGAGTCACAGTGTTGAACTTAACTTTTGTTCATCAGCAGTCTTGTTTTACAGAATATATCAATATTATTAGCTTGTATTTCATTTTTTTCCCTTTTCACCATAGATTGAACAAAATATGTCAATTATTTTGTTATCTTTTTGGTAGAAACAAGAAACAATTTCCTAATGGTGTAAGAGAGTAATTTAACATATATTCCTTGAAAACAATATCTTTTGCAGTTTTTCAAGTAAATCTATCTAGATGTTTAAATAATTTTTACAGGTAAATAAGACAAAATACCAGTTAACAAAAATAATTTTGTGAACATAATTTTTGTAACAAAAGAATTTGTGAATCAAAACCTGTCAGAAAAGTCACAATTTCCGAGGTGACCCACAAATGTTTGACAATTTGCAAATACAGATTGAACAATAAATTATTAAATGCAAAAACACTGAACAATTTATCAAAGCACTTGCATATTTATGAATGGTGTTTTGTTCATGTGTATTAGGTTACACGTTCATGCTTCTGTATTTGTGAACATATTAATTTTTATACATTTCTAACACCATATTTGTATGCCAATTAAATATCAGTGACTGTATCACTGGAAACATTTTGGGACAGACTGCCACCGACGTGTGGCTTGAAATAACAGGTATCAGAGAGACCCATTTTCTGGGAGAATGACTGGATATTTAAGGGGCATAGCAACACAGAGAGAGGGAGAATCAATATCTCTATCTCTCCCTCTTTCACACACACAAATATATGCAAACACTCTCTGAAATAAGCAGACACGTATTCAGAGCAGTGATACATTAAGCAGGGTTCAGTTGGTGCATCCCATCAGCTTTGGGTGCATGAGAGAAAAGCGAATTGAGAAAGAGACAAAAGCTGGAAAAGAGGACGTAAAGCCATTGTTGAGGTCCTTTGTGTCAGTGGAGCCGTAGCAGGAGCTTGAATGAGAGCGAGAAATACAGCAGGACATTGTCACGCAATTGTGTTTGGCATACTTGTGCCAAACATAATCCTAGTCCAATCTCAGCAAGGTACATTTCCAGAATGCCAAAGTCCTATGGGCCCACTGAGTTACCATCTGTGTACCACTATACCACTCCTCCTTCTCCTCCTTTCCTCTCCTCCTCCTTTGCTCCAGCTTCTTTCCCCTATTTTTGCCTGTTGGCAGAAAGTGAGGCGGTTAGATATAGACAGGATGGAGACGTGACCCACCAAACGCATTCATCACGAAGGAAAGGAAACATGATTGGTTGATTTGAGCTCTGAAGGTGCATGCAACGTGATTGGTTGAGAATTGTGCTTCGCTTGTTAAAGGCCTTTTGATTGGGGTTTGGTTTGCATTGCGGAGGGAATGTGATTGCTTAGTAAGATTGGCTCGGATTCGAGTCGCTGACTTGATTGATCCAGGATTTGATTCACTTTTAGGTTAAGTTATTAGTGTTTCTTTACATCATCTCGCAAACATATTCAATAAAATGCCAACATCTGCTGTGCGTTTAAGTAAATGGACACACAAAGTACATAATTGCACATGCAATATGGTGATTCTGTCTGCGTATAAGACAGGGAAGGTGTGTGGTGTGTGATTCTTGAGGAAGGTGCCCGATCACATATAGGCGGCTGGAAAAAATGGTGTGGCTTTAGGCTCGCAGTGGCAGCCGTGTGAGGCCATATGTCATCTTACACAACATGGTGCTATGAAGACCTTACACCCGAGAGTTGCTCATTGGAGTGTTCAGAATGTGGACTTTGTCATCTGTTCACACAGAAGCAATAAAAGTAACAAACTGATTCAGTCTCACACGCGCACAAACACGATACCAACATTTGGGCTTTTACGATACTGGCCTCAGATTACTGCTGAAATGATGCTGGGCTGTCAATAATTAAGATAATTAATAATAATATATATATATACGTATATATATATATATATATATCAGTGATTGATCCAGGATTTGATTCACTTTTAGGTTAAGTTATTAGTGTTTCTTTACATCATCTCGCAAACATATTCAATAAAATGCCAACATCTGCTGTGCGTTTAAGTAAATGGACACACAAAGTACATAA